CCTGCATTCAGAGTCCTGTGCAGATTATCGCAGATTACCTCAGAATGGTGTGAGGCTGCTTAGACTAGTACGGTGCTTGAAAGACCGGCCTAACCCCCTTCCCCCAACACTATCGGTTGACCTCACATGGAAAAAGGATTCTCAGATCGCTTTGAAGCTCTGTTGGGGCGGGTATTGTGTCTAGGTGTTCTGCAAACTGGACCTCTCTCACGAAATTATAGCCGAATTCTAGCATGCTGAGCTAATCCTATAGCAATCTTAAACGCATTCATTTTAATAACAAAATGGCAGAATAATGACACTCCCGTACCTACTAGGTCGGCGAGAGTTGAGCGCTTCGTGTGTCACATTTTTAGGGATCTGTACATTTCTAGATCTTAAATTCCTTAGCTTTGCGACTGTCAACACTGCACATTCTAAATTATTCAACACATTCTGTGAACGATTTAGTCATTCTTACGCGAAAACAAGCTTATAGGTATTTGGAATATTGGGGGGTACTGTACCCCCCAGGTAAATTATTGAGGGGGTCCGGACCCCCGCGTACCCCCCTGTGGCGGAGCCCCTGTATATACATATGTAAACAGTTTCGAGTTTGTTTCGTAAGCAATGTAAAATTCCAAATAATAAATGAAAATAAAATCATATAAAAGCACCCAAACAGAACCTTTGCAAATGACAGCATATTCTGTTTACTTTTCAGCATTTTTTTCTTGTCTTAATAAAAATCAGATAAGTATCGATATTGCCCTTAACGTCACCGGAGCTTTCGACAACAATTATGTTCATATTTATAACCCTATATAATCCTAGGGCCCGGCAAATCTATCAAGAAATGAAATAGCTGGCCTCCACCATCCTTTTGGATCCGACTGATAAAAATTCATAGGAAGGGGACAGATCTCCGGATTCATTTTGTCATATTTATACACAACTCTGGACTCTGGCCATAGCAAGTCTTTTTTCTCTTTCTCCTTCATCTGCAAGGATTGTCGTCTTTCTGCTGTGCAGCTTTTTCCATGCGTTGATCTCCCGTTTTATGCTTCATTGGGATGATTTCAATGCTAGATTCGGTGGATGATTTCGTGCTCATATGGGTAAACGCCAAACGGGCTTAAAAAAGATAATGGGAAGGCCTCGGTTTGGTGAGTGACGCAGACACCGACCTGAGAGATCAGTGTAAAACTAACTAAAAACACTTAGCTGTATAGTAATATTGTTCTGAGATATACCCTTCACCCCGTGACGGCCTACACTCTGTCGGCCTCCAGTTCCCGTTTACAAAGGCAGTGTCACACACACATCCCAAGGGCATTATAAAAAACGACAACATAGTGAATCATTCGCCTCCATAGTGCGTCCCGTGGACCTCTACTTCACCTACGGGTGTGCCCTTAGGAACCGAGAGACTAACCATAACAATAAGCCTTAGATCGAGAACGTGAAACGCCGCTGCCAGCGGTCAAACTTGGTGAAGAACTTGACGTGGTCTACCGCGGAGCGCTCTTATACGATGCTGTAGCGGAGGAGATTGTCTTTATTTTAGAGTAGGTAGGTAACCCCCGGAAGGATCGTAGAAAGCTGAAGATGCGCAGGAGCAGACATCCTCCGAGCTAGGCAGGGGCGTAGCCAGGATTTCCTCAAGGGGTGTTCTAAACCTACAAGGGCCCAAGGTAACCCCCCTCAAAAATTAAAAAGTCGTCGGATTTCATGCACTATTTTTGGAGGGGGCCCAAATAAGTTGAAAAAAAAAAAAATTATTTATAAAAATGAAAAAAATGTTAGAACTGAGGGGGCAAGCAGTCCATGGGCCCTTGCCAGATAGGCCCACGAATAGCCTCATAGAGTCGCTCAGCCGGTTCAGAAGGCCGACTGAGGGTCTCGTAGGTCGGATGAGGGTCCTTCAGACCGTCAAAGGCCGCTTCAGGCCATGAGAGCCTCAGACCAATCGGGGGCCCCTCAGACCGATCGGGGGCCCCTCAGACCGACAGAGGGCCCTCTCGGTCCAAAAAGGGCCCCTCACGCAAGTTGCGGTTCCTTTACACTTCGACAGAGGACCCTTCAGAATTCAGATGTTAGTCAGAGTCCCATCATGAGCTCGCCTCAGAGTCAAAGGGCAACTCGACGCGTTCAGAGGGCCCGTCGGTAGATAAGAGGGCCCCGTCCAGCGACCGGGGGCCCTTTCATGCGCTCAGAGGATTTTACTGTAGCTCAGAAGGCCCACGTCAATCAATCAGGGGCCTCTTCATGCGTTCAGAGGGCCCTCTCGTGTATTCAGAGGGCCTTTCTGTAGTTCAGAGGGCCCTTGTCAAGCGATCAGGGGCCCTTAATGCAATTGGAGGGTTTTCCTGTGGCTCAGAGCCAGAGGGCACCCGTCAAGCGATCAGGCGGCCCCTTCATGGCTTCAAAGGGCCCTCTCGTGTAGCAAGAGGGCCTTTCTTTAGTTTAGAGGGCCCCCGTCAAGCTATCAGGGGCCCTTCACTAGCTCTGAAGAGGGCCCCTCGAACTTCAACCAAACTATAAGAAATACATATTAAATAAAATTGAAAAGAGGCCCATCAAAAATAAAGTGAGTGAAGTCCGCCCTAATAATTGGATAGGGTGTATGTACGTAGGTAAAGCCCACATTCATGTGTGGTCACCCATTTGAAACAGCCCATCCCGGAACTTTTGAAACTACGAAGGGCTCTGCCGTCAGCTTCGGGGATAGGGGCCAATGGAAGGCCCAAGGGGGGTCCCTAGGGACCATAGGGACCCCCCTTCGCTACGCCACTGGAGCTAGGTGATATTGCAATTACTAATTATGACGCCAAATAAATAATTAAATAAATAAATAAATAACTAAATGAATAAATGAATAAAAAGTAATGGCTCGTGGATTGTGATTAACGTTTCATCGGTTAAAAACTAGTTCTCCCATTTCTTCCACAGTCTTCGTCTCGTGACTCGTCTGACATTGTTTTTGGCTATGACATCGCCACTTGATACAGCTAGTGGCGCATTTGGTGTCAAGTCTCAAGTGTCAAATAAACAGTGTCGCGCAGCTATGATGCCCTTACATCGAGCTCTCCGCCGATCATTATGAACTTTTATGTCATTCTAATCAGTGCAGCGGCTGCACAAATCACAGCATCCCTCAGCTATCGTCCATCACCTATAACTTGAACTTCAGTTACCTATATATTTAGCCGAATGTTTGCAACATTTTGTATCAATAAATAATATCTACGTTATCGTACCTATAGCCTTTCTGCAGTTCCTGATCCAATCAACGGCGGCGTCGGCGGCAAAGAAAACGGCCATATGATAAAACAGAAACTCAACAAACCGTACTTTTCCTCTAGACGGAATCATTAGATTACAAATGGGTCTACAATGCTGCTCTCAGCACATCTCTCCGCGTCATCAAAGTCCGTAAATTGGACGGAACTGCAGACCTCGCTCGGTTGAGTGGCGACAATTGCTAACTGAGGTAGCTAATGGTCTTCCACGGCTAGCTTACGGGTTAAAATCTCATCCTCGGCTAGCTTCGTGTCCTCCTCGGGGCACTCTTTGATCCCGCTCAGCGCCCTGCCGATGATAATCAATGATGAATGGTCTTAGTATAGCTGCCATACTACTGCTGCCATACTGCTGCCATACTATGACAGCAGTGCGTACCTACATGTATGGTTGGTTGGTTAGTCAGTTTCATGTAACTTGTTAGGTATTCGAGTGAGGTGTAGCCCTCGCGCTCTTATATGGCCTTGCTCGGACTTATAGGAGGAGGGTGGGTCGATCGAACGGACCCCTCCCCCTCGTTTTTTGCAATTACCTAACTCGCGCAAGAAGCGGCCGATCGCGACCAAAAACTAGAAATAAATAAAATAGCCGCTGATGTTAAAATGAAAGCTAACGCCCAGCCAAAAATTTGGTTCGGTTCAAGTCCGTCTTGTCCCGGCAACTCCGACTTGGGCCGAGGTAAACGGAACGCCGTCAGAGCCGGGGTTTGGATCGCCTATGGCGATATTCCGGTCAGCCAGCCTTTGCCGTAACGCTCCCGAGTTGGTATAATTGCGGACCGCCAAGCCTGGCTTAAGTCCGGCTCCCTGCCACGGCTCAAGTCCGGCTGTCGTAGCTGTTCTGGCTTACTGTGGCTGAAGTACGGTTGAGGACTTGAGGTACGGCACGGTTGATGCGGTATAAGTCCGGCTGTGGTGCGGGCGAGCTCCGTGATCGTGTGTCAGCTCCAGTAGAGCCCCAGACCTTGTCCGTGCTTTAGCTAGAGCAAATGCCTTAGGCGGAGCTAGCCAGAGTAAAACCAGCTACGGCCCAGACCGACTTTGCCTGGCTGGGCATAACGGATAGTGACGAACGACCAGAGCAAAACGACTATAGTAAGACCATATATCTATGGTACCTAGGCAATTATGTATGACCGTAGGAAAACTGTATTTTCCTATGTATGACCATATAAGTTATAGGGGAATAGGTATACCTCATATTATAGGCATACCTACTTATAGGTCATAAGCTGACGATCAATGACAGAGTCACAGACCAAGTGTTTTCCGTAGTGCACTTGCCTTGCGAGTTGCGGATGACCGAGGAAGCCTGGGGACAAATAAACCGGAAACGAGTGGAGGGAAGTCACTCTGAGGGAATGGACTCTATGTAGTGGAGGAATGGGCGACTTCTTCACTCTGTGCCACAATTTTGAAGAGCAGTGCTCACTTATGGACAACATAGACGGCGGAACGGGGGGAGGGGGCACCGGGGCACCGTGCCCCCTCATTAACCCTATGGGCGTATGGAAAGAATGGGACCAAAAGTAGCCAGTGCCCCCCCCCCCTTTCATTGAAGGTGCTCCACCGCCACTGATGGACAATAGGCCATAGGATGATGTTGATATTGTGTTAAAAAACCCTATCTAGGATTGTGAATCTGCCGTCGGTCGGTAATTACGAAAAAGGTGCATCAGTCCAATCCAGAAAGTGCTGCATTTTAGAGACCATTGACACCAAGCTTTGTAATAAAGCAGCCTTGACGAAATTTGGCGCGGCATAAGCTACGCGATTTTCCCGCGTTTCTACTTTCTCGCTTTTGTTTGGCTTCAGCCATATTTGCGGCATTTGGGAGCTCTATAGTCTTGGGCATTTGTTGGTTGCAAGCCATCTATAGAGCTTTGTAATTTGGTGGGTTGCGGGTTTTGTGGAGATTGCTGCAGGGGAATGACGTGGATCTTTATAATGTAACGGAGCTTACGACTGCTGGAATATTGTGCAGTGATCTATAGCTCAGTTTTGTGAAACATAAGCTTGTCTTTTCTTGAAATCTCGGTAAGTTCCCTGTGACCCCACTTGCACTGTCCATGGACTTCACTCGTTATGTTTCAAGTTCTCTTCCAGTTGCCTCATGCTAGAATAGCAAAGTTTGTTTATACTAACTTTAGGATTAGCTACTATTACTTGTGTTTGCATTTGTGTGCTTCGTGTAGGCTGAGGCCACACTTCACTCGTGAGGGGTGTTAACGGGCACCACAAACTGCTGAGCGCGGTGTGTGCGGTGGGGGTAGGGGATGGGGCAAGAATCTTGGGGATGGGTAGGTGGTTCTGACATCACAGCTGCTTGCAGTGGACAGTCCGCTGTGGCCAGTCCCGACTCCCGACCGGCCACAGCGGTCACTGGTGTGCAGTGACGGAAGGCTGATGTAGGAACGCAGTGGGCGGAGCTTAGAGGCTGCGTGCGGTGGCGGTCTGACCGCACACAGGGCCCGTGAACAGCCCTCCGGGGACAATAAGTCATTGATCCTGTAGAATGGATGATAAGCAGCACCAGCAATGGCTGAAGTTCAGCGGAAGAAAACTATTAGTAAATTTGAAGCAGTCTTAAAATATTTCAGCCCATAGATTTGTTCCCTTTGACTCTCTGAACTTCCTTTGTTCAGAGCTGATGACTCTGACGTGCATATGCCAACATTAGGATCATTGCAATTGTACATGCTACCAAATTCAGCTTTGAAATGCCTTGAGTAGAATAGTGCAGTCTTCACAAGATTGGGCCTGATAGGACTCACCGAGCCAAATCTGTCAGCCTTGGGATAGGCTGCTGGTAGAGGGCATGGAAAACCCCAACCATAACACAGGCCACAGTTCAGTCACTTTTTTGGGAGAATGCTGTGAGCCTGTTGGCACTTCTCAGCTTCTGCTTGTTGAAATTCATTGGGGGTGTGTGGTGCACAATATGAGGCCAAGAATCCAAATGACAAGCATCTTTCATGCAAGCATCTTTCATACAAGCATCTTTCATGCAAGCATCTTTCATACAAGCATCTTTCATACAAGCATCTTTCATGCAAGCATCTTTCATACAAGCATCTTCCATATTATGGAAGACTTCTCACTGCTGGAGCATACTAATCAAAAGCTGATGCCAATGTGATCCGTGCCAATACCAAACAGTGCTAGAATCAAGGGATAAGCCAGGGAACTGGTAGCTGGTTATAATCTGCTACCTAATAGAAAAGCAGTGAATCTACTATCTTTGGGTGGGTAATAGGCTGGCAATATAAGGTGTTTTTAACGTGTGCCTCTGTTCTTGTCCTGCCTCAGACCTCCCTTAGTACATGCTAGTCCTTAGTTTCATAGTCCCTTGACAAGACACAGAGACAGACATGGAGGTGGTGTTGCCATTTATGTGCGTGACAATCTCCCTGTCAAAAGACTCGTAGAACTTGAATCCCCTGGTGTAGAGTGGATTTGGTGTCTTATTAAAATAAACCAGATATCCCTTATTATATGTTCAATTTATGTACCACCAAACCAGACATCAGACAACTATTCCTCAATCCTTGATAAAATGTCAGAAAGTGTTGCCCTAGCAAGAATATATTCTCCAAACAATATAATAATTACAGGGGATTACAATGGAGGCAACACATTTCTCGATCAGAGATTTTCAACCCATAGCCCAATATCACCCTACGAGATTGCCCTCCATGACGAAATTTCTTCTTCCAACCTTGAACAACTCATAAATGAACCCACTCGGTATATGGAAACAAGCAAAATTGCAAATTTGAGGGATCTTATAGTAATATCTAACGAACTGATGGTTGAAGATTCTGGACTTCTTTCTCCCTTCTCCAATATCGATCACATACCTGTATACGTTTCAATAAATATAGAACGTCCTCCAAATATCAGCAAAACAATACAATTCTGGGACTACAGACAAACTGACACTGACAAGCTCACTAGACTCTTGATGGACACTGATTGGGACAGACTTCTTGACTGTGACATAGACACTGCAACTGAAAACGTAACTGAAGCCCTTCTAACTGCAGCTAAAGCCTCAATCCCAGTCAAGACATTTACTACCAAATTCAACAACAAGCCATGGTTTAACATTGAGCTCAAACGCCAAATCAGAAAACGTGACAGATTGTTCAAAATTGCAAAAAGACATGACACTCCTGAGGACTGGCAAAGGTGGAGGACTCAACGAAACCTAACAACAGAGACAAATCAACGACTAAAAGACATGCACATCCAATCAGAGGTTACTAAGCTATTTGACCAGAAACAAAATCCACGCACGTACCATAGGATTTTAAAGGGACTGATAGGGAAAAAAGACACTCATACTATGCCACCTCTCATTGATCAAGACGGAACGCCAATTACGAATGACTATGACAAGGCCACAATTTTAAATGACCATTTTGCAAAACAGACCCGACTTGACACACGTGACCTTAACGTACCTCACATTAATCCTCCACCACCCAATACTCCCCAGCTTGCGGAGGTCCAGGTGACCGAGCTCGAGGTTCTCAAAATTCTAAATTCCTTAGATGCAAACAAAGCATCAGGTCCCGACAAAATCCCAAACAAACTACTCAAAATGTGTGCACTTTTATTAGCAAACCCCCTCTGTAAACTATTTAACAAATCTCTGCAAGTAGGCAACTTTCCCCTTTCTTGGAAAAAAGCTTGCGTAACACCCATATTCAAACGTAAAGGTTCCAGTTCCGACCCAATCAATTATCGACCTATCAGCCTTCTACCGAACATTTCAAAAATTCTTGAAAAATTGGTTTTCAATAAAATATATGAACATCTTTCAGAGCATGATCTTTTGACTGAAAAACAAAGCGGCTATAGGCCAAGCCATAGCACGCACATCCAACTTGTCTATCTATCGCATCAACTATATTCAGCATTAAACGAAAACAAGGACTTCACAGCCATCTTCCTGGATATTTCAAAGTACTTTGATAAAATTTGGCACGAAGGACTCATTGAAAAATGCGAAATTCAATACAACATCTCAGGGAACTTATTGGCATGGCTAAAATCTTACCTTAAACACCGGAGTCAGGTTGTTCGAGTTGAATCTAGCATTTCGGCATCACAAGAAATACAGGCTGGCTGCCCCCAGGGCTCGGTCCTTGGACCTCTGCTCGCTTTGATGTACTTAAATGACCTTTCCGACCGAACAGAAAACGAAGCACTATTTTACGCGGACGACACTTCACTATATTTAGCACATCCACCACACAGCCAGCAACATGAACAATCACTACAAAGAGACCTTGACTTAATACGACAGTACGGATTAGACTGGGCCATAACATTTAATGCTGACAAGACGGTACGACAAACCTTTACCAACAGACTAGAAAATGACAACTTAACACTTTATTTCGATGGAAAACAACTGACTCCAGTTACTCAACATAGACATCTTGGACTTAACCTTTCCACTGACCTACATTTCCACCAGCATATTAATTACGTAATAAAGACAGTCAACTCTCTTCTAGGGCCAATTTACCCAGTTGCCAAATTTTTATCCAGAACAACTCTCAACGAAATATATACCATGTACATTAGACCACATTTTGATTATTGTGACATTGTGTTTGACGGCAACATCACCTCACACGACATAATGCGACTCCAGATATTACAAAATCGATGTGCAAGACTTGTGACCGGAGGGCTGTTCACGGGCCCTGTGTGCGGTCGGACCGCACACAGCCTCCAAGCTCCGCCCACTGCGTCCCTACGTCATCCTTCCGTCACCGCACACAGCAAACGCTGTGGCCGGTCGGGACTGGCCACAGCGGACCGTCCACCGCACGCAGCCGTGACGTCAGAGCCACCTACCCATCCCCTACCCCCACGCCTGCTGGACGCACCGCACACAGCGCACGCAGCAGTGTGCGGTGCCCGTGAACACCCCTCGGGGCCTTATTTCGAACACCGACTGACGCACTTCTCAAAGACTTGGGGTGGGAACGACTAGAGACGAGGAGACAAATTCACAAGTTACTATTCTTTCATCGTCTTTACTACAACTACCCCCCTCTTCCCTCATACCTCACAAATATTCTGACAGACACAAGACAAGACGCCACAGGACTTCGACTGCGCAACGCACGACTCCTATCGCTCCCGCCCACCCGTCTAACCTCTTTCCGCAGATCCTACATCCCTGCCACCATCCGACAATGGAACCTTCTTCCCGAATCGCTTCGAGACACCCGATCTCCCCGCGATTTCTCTCGTCAAGTCTGGCAGCGATATGGGGCACCAGAGCCACCAGCACTTCACTCATTTGGCACCAAGACACTCAACACACAACACACACGACTACGTGTCGGCCTAGCTACACTCAACGCACATCTCTTCACACTCCAACTAACTCCAACTCCAGCGTGTTCCTGTGGCTACAAACACGAAGACACAGCACACTACTTGCTCTGGTGCCCCCTTTACACAAACCACAGGCAAATACTCTTTAACGCCGTTCGACCAATCGTTCCAAATTTTGACAACTTACCAAGTAGACAGAAGCTTAACATTCTTCTATATGGAAACGACCTTTCTGAAACCCAGGGCACACTTGTTGCTCTCCACATTCACTCATACATCGCACACTCACGCCGGTTTAACACCCAACACTAGGTAACCCACTCACACCCAAGCACGCTGGCCTAGCTGCTGTCGCTCGGGCCCGGGCGCCTTGACCCGGTTCGTTTGTTGCTCGGAGGGTTGCTGGCGGGGCTAGCGTCGTCTGGCCTCAGGTATTGGTTAGGTTAGCATTGTCAATTTTATGTTCTTCTTCGGAGAGGCGCTTTAATTTAAGCGATGCTTTTGCGCCGATCCCTTATTTGCTCTGTACATTTATTTGATCCTTGTTTACTAAAATACACTGGAATGGAATGGAATGGAATAGTATTTTTCAATGCCCTGTTTACAAAAATCTGTTCATTCAGCCTCCTCTGGTCTGCTTTATGCTATGGAGCTCACCTGCTGCCATCTTTTTTTCTGTTCCTTGCTCTTCTCAAGGAGATGGATTTCAAGATTAGGCTAAAATTGGAAAAGGTCACGTTTAAAACAACAAGGATAACAGTGTTTATATGGTATTTTAAACAGTGTTTGTATGGTAAAAATGCAAGGAAGGGGAGATGAGGCTGCTACATTTTCTGAATGGTATTTGAATTTTCCTTTGTTATTGTTTTTACCCTCCAAGTACCTAATGTTTATTGATGATTGTATTTTGTAACTCATCTTGGTGCTGCACAAATTATCTAAGGCAGGCAGAGCTGATTTTCTGTAAGAAGTTGTGCCATGGTGGTTCAAAAACTACTCATTTCTCTTTTTTTCAAAGCTGATATGGGAGGAAGTCCAACAGATCCATATAGGTGCATATCCATAGGTCCATAGGTCCAATACCTAGATGCATTGCAATTGGTGTTCACCTCACCATATGCAGTGCCTCTACTTGACCACCTAACAACTATATGAGCGGTGGATGTGAAATGGCCATTTCAGTCATCAAACAATCAAACAACCATACAACAATAGCTATTCATCTTCATAAATTAACCCATCCTTCTATGTCCATTCTCTAAGGGAATAAAATTATTGGAATAAAATATTAATTTGTTGATATAATAAACTACGGATTGTAATAGATTTACCGTTTATATGTTTCCAAATATAACCTTATGTTCAATGATTGTGAAATGCAAATGGTTCCAAAATTAATTACAAAATGAATATATTTCGGACACTGTCCTTCTTCAGTTCAGAATTGCAAATTAATTCATTTAGTCACAACAGCGCCAGAATATGTCGATAACAGCTAAGTTAGGAAGTCTCACATTGGTAAATTCTCGCGCAAAATAGACAACCATCTTACAGTTGAAATGTTCACAAGGTACCCTTTCATATAAATATAATACATGTGTCCACAATTTACACATTAATTCATCCCTATCATCTATCAATCACTAGACCACAAGCATCTAGTCGTCTATTCAACCATCGAGCCATGCAATCAGTCAAACATCCAACCATCCATGTACTCACACATCACTCAGCTATAGATAATTAGACAATCAAGTCATCAAAGGCCACCATCTTACATCAAAGAGCATAAGTACTTTACCATTATGCTCTTTACCATTATAAGTACTTTACCATTATGCTCTGAGTGATGTGTGAGTACATGGATGGTTGGATGTTTGACTGATTGCATGGCTCGATGGTTGAATAGACGACTAGATGCTTGTGGTCTAGTGATTGATAGATGATAGGGATGAATTAATGTGTAAATTGTGGACACATGTATTATATTTATATTTATATTTATATTTATATGAAAGGGTACCTTGTGAACATTTCAACTGTAAGATGGTTGTCTATTTTGCGCGAGAATTTACCAATGTGAGACTTCCTAACTTAGCTGTTATCGACATATTCTGGCGCTGTTGTGACTAAATGATTTAATTTGCAATTCTGAACTGAAGAAGGACAGTGTCCGAAATATATTCATTTTGTAATTAATTTTGGAACCATTTGCATTTCGCAATCATTGAACATAAGGTTATATTTGGAAACATATATATGTCATAATGCTGTTCATACAAGTACTTCGCCATTTACTAGATTTACCGTTAACAAATTGTCTTGTTGCAGCCGCCGCGCCGCGCGATGACGGGCGGCCAGAAGTTCTGTCTGCGCTGGGACGGCTTCAAGTCGCGGCTGTCGTCAGTGTTTGACGAACTGCGCCGGGAGGAAGAGCTGCTGGACGTGACACTCTGCTGCGATGGCGGACACGCCGTCAAGGCCCACCAGATCCTGCTGTCGGCCAGCAGTCCCAGCCTCCGCCAGCTGCTCAAGGTGGGTGGAGGATGCGCCCGGTGCGCGCAAGCGCCCATGCACTCTGTTCGATCCAACTGTCTGTTTTTTGTTTTTGTTTTCTTCCTGGTGTCAGTGTCAACCCTCGCCCGTATTGGCCTTTTTCTAACGTATAGGGGAGGGGGCGGGGGGAGGGTCTGTTGACCCGCCCTGCTGTTCGGCCCCTGTTCTAGCTAGAGCTTCGCGGAAAAAGAGGGTATTGTGAGTGACGCGAGGAAGGCTATTATACCCAAATTAAAGGTCCCAGGTCATTGGCTGACCTTCCAGGTCAGGTCAATGACTCAAAAGTCGGGAAATTCGGGACCTGCTAGAGCATCGTGAAGTGAGGTTATGATGGGGGTTTTCAGGGTCCCGGTTACGAACTTCTTGTTAGTTTTAACAAGCATGATGTATTAATGCGTTTTGGTTTGTTCGGGTCAGGTCAGCTGGTCAGTTCAACCAGTAGGCTTCCCGCTGGCTACTTATAGTCAACCTCCAATGGCGACTTCGGGACATGTTACGTGGGCACCAAAACTACTTCATAAATGTTCAGATAGGTAGGTGGTAAATTCTAAATCAGCTCCAACAACTACCCTGGAAACATGTAAATTTCGAAATAGTGAACCAAGGTAATCTAAGGTCACTGACCTTGACCGTCCCTCATGTGACCTTGACTCCCACCATAATGCATGGGGCAAACATCATTGCACATGTTGGAACGCTTACCACCACAAAAAGACCGAAAACGCGCGGATAATGTGTGCCGACATACGCTGGATCGCGATTCCGGCCAAACATTGTCTCGAAAAGTATTTCACAGCCCACAGGTCAAAGGTTATTTGGGTCAGGGTCATATAATTTTCAGGATAGGTGTAAAAAAGATCAATTCGAGGGTACCCACTGAAAGTTTCGTCGCGATTGGTGACTTTCTGTGCGAGCTCCGTTTGACCCCTTCCCCCTCCCTCTATAAGTGTGGGGTTAAGTTTGTCTGTAAGAATTGCTGTCCATTAACCCGGCAGTTGCTGGGGTATTTCGCCACCCACCGTTTGCTGGGGGGGGGGGGGCGTTAAACGCCCCCAGCCGATAACTCGAGAACCAATAGGCGCAGCGAAACGCACGAGGCGGCAAACGAAAGAGGGCGACGAGACGCTTCAGATGAGTACTTTAAAGTTGAATTTTGAGGTCACAGGTCGGGTCAAGGTCAGGTCAAACACCTGAAATCGGGCTTTCAGTAGCATGGACTTCAGGACTTCGCAATGGGCGTCTCTCGTCATAAACTCTGTCAAAACGGTGCACAATCCATCATATACAGGGTGTCCCATAAGTTCGTTCTCACATTTTATTTGCATGTGCAACAGAGTACTTTGCGTTTCGATATATTTATGACCCCTCAATGTGCTCCCCATTTAATAGGCAAACACATGAACACATGCTGCGGCATGCCAACCGGCATGTTTGGCTGCATAGCAGGCTTAAAGTTAACCCAGACTGACTTGACATGCGCCGTGAGCTCCTCGAGGCTGGAACAGCGCTACGCTTCGACGAGCCTAAATTTCAGCATAACCAACAATTTTTTATGAAATTTTGATCCGATGAGGTGCCTGGCATGTGGTCTTGCCACAAACGCCTGTCACAGTCTCCTTCCACCGCTTTTAAGCTTTGCTTGGCCTGTGCACTGATGCACTGTCTTGCCTGAAGATGGGCCTACGACCTCTCGGATGCCATTTTCTCCTCTATAAATGTGTTCATACTCGCGGTTCGAGTTCAGCTTGAGGGCTGAAACTCCTCCTAGATTTTCTTGGAAAAGCATTATGCTTCCCAAAGCTGTTTCTGGGACACCAATCGCAACCTGGTCAGCGTCTGGACGCCTATAACCCCACAATACCGTGATCTTGGCCTTTCGCATAGGAACATAACGGGACGAAACGGAGGCCTCCTCCTTCGCCCTTATGGGGTTGTTTTCGGGTTTGGACGGGTGTTTCATGTCGAACGTGGACTAGTTAGTCCAGATGACCTGGTTGATGTCCTCAGCCCTTTAGTTTTTTTAGCCTCAGGCATAACGAAACTCATGTTTGGCCATTTTAAGACGTTTTTGACTGTTTTGAGCCCTCCGGTAAGCAAAGCTTAAGTCACCTTGAGTTATGTACCCCGTAAGAATAATTTTAGACAGCTGGTAATCCATCCTGAAAAGTCTGCTTACCAACTTTCTAACCCTTTGACCTTTTTGATGGCCACTTTGGCGCCACACAGTTTTGGCCACATGGCTCACTCCTGAGAGCTGACAAAAAAGAGGATAAACTTGCAATGATTGACTCCCGACAAATCATCGGTGTCACTTGCTGACTGTGCGTCCAGTTAGCGATGGACATTGTCTACAGACTGGTAGGCCTCAATCACCCTCAATCGTCGCGAATGGTCACGTGCTGACTAAATACCGAGACGTACCCGTATTGGAGACCTCTATGTTGCGGCGTTAGCCGTCTGTGTAGGAAACGGGCTCTCTAGCAAAAACTATTTTGTCTACAGAAATAAGTTACTGTGGAGCATATTTCTACCAGCCATGGCAACCATGTAAGCTCAGTAACGAACCAATTTCAGCGTGTCTTTAAGCAAGAGAGACTAAAAACGTAAAATTTAGGTGAGAACGAACTTATGGGACACCCTGTAAGGCCTACAAGAGTGTCAGCTCCATGTAGGGGTCAGTCAAGCATAGGTCAGGGTCAAGGTCAGGTCAACCGGGTAGGCACATATCCCCGAAAATCAAAACTGATATTCGCAGCCTGTGGCACATGTTTTATGGGTAATTTGGGGCGTAGAACACGATGGTCACATTCATTTTATCATATGTGTACGTGTTTGGCTCAAAAAGTTAGATTTAAGAAATGCATGTATCATGGTCGTGAAGTAGTCACGAGAAATTGCCAAGATTCAGTTCAAGATTTTGGAAAATGTGGAACGATAATCAATAATCAGAGACAGCCATTTGATTCTTCATGGTATTGGCAGTCTAATGGCTTTTACAGCATGTCTGTATGTCTATTCTGTGATTTTATATGATTTTTTGAACATATGCCGTTTTTGGTCGAAAACTCAGAAATCATGACGTCACTAAAACCTCGATATCTCAAAAAATTTTCGACCGATTTTTTTTGAAACTTTGTCACAAAACTTCAATCAATTCCCTACAGGTACCCAAAATTTGGCGCGCCGTTTTTATGCTATGGCCCGGCGAAAAAAGTGGGGGCGTTTAACGCCCCCCCCCCCCAACAACTCGCGGGTTAAAACATCGTTGAAATCATCCATTTACCCAATATGTCTCAGGCGCGGATACAAGGGGGGGGGGCATGGGGGCCATGGCCCCCCCCCTTGGCCGATTTTTTCAAAAATAAAATAAAAAGTTAAAAAGTTAAAAAGCTGAAAAGGGGGTCTCCTGAAAATAAAGTGGCCGAAATCCGATGAGTTTTTTTTAACCTACCCACTTAGTTATTTCTTAGAAGACTAGCTGAGAACTTGGAGGTCTCTTATACTCACAGAGATGACCACTTTTACAGGGCCTCCTAACCTGCACAGAGGGCCTCCAAGCCTGCACAGATGTTAAGATGTTGCCTGAACAGCTAGATAAGCTCAATAGACGCAGTTTTTTTTTTTGGGGGGGGGCCAACAAGTGGGAAGATGGGGCCTCCAACAGGTGGGATTATGGGGGGGGGGGCCTCCTGGTTTCTAATGGCCCCTCCCTTGGAGATTTTCTGGATCCGCCCCTGATATGTCTAGAAATCAAAACTGCTCTCCCTGAAGCCGTTTATTTTGAAATATGTTTTTTAATTGATAAACATCGCATTGGCATCAAACAAAAAGCAAATAGGTGCCTATCGTATGGTCTACTTCGTGCTCCCAAACGCAACATATTAAACTGATGATAATTGCGTCCTACCAAAGAAGACCATTTTCTTATTTCAGTGTGTTTTCGATTACAGCAAACGGCTAAAAATCTTTGAATGGGAGATCCAGAACCGTTTGTAGTTGGCACGCCTTAAAGCCCCAATTAACAAACACAATTTGGATATCTCTCTCAATTATCACAATGCGCCATTGGTATTGGTCGTGTTGTAAAATTGATGTTGGGTATTTTTTACTTGGCACGGTGTATTAATTCAATTATTGACCGAAGGACTCAAATGACAATGGTCTTTATGACACCGTTTATAGGAGTTCCACGCTTTGAATCTCGAAAACTGCGCACTGTATGTGTAATTGCCGAGATCGTAGACTTGCCTCAGGCCTGGATAAGCACGTTTTATAATTGCATTTGTGGATGCTGCTGCCGTATGTTAGGGCTGTATTCGTTGATGAGTGCTCAGAATGCATTAGCTATTCTTTTTTGGAAGACCTTATATCGCTATCGCTTCTCAGTAGTTCTATGACTTGCATTCATTTGAAAGGTTGGAACTAATGCGTGGGCAAATGCCATCGGCAAACACGTAACATGATATAGCCGAAACTCCGGTGAAAGCACTATAGTTCGTTTTTATGACGATGCCACTGAAACTTAGCTTCATTATCCGTCCATTAAGAAAGCTCAATCTGTATGTTGAAAATGTGTTGTGGGTTCTTCACTGCTTTAAAAAGATTAAAACAGAGATAGGACGCTCCGTCTTAAATATGTGCGGTGTAGGTTATTGCCTTTTTGTCGATCACAGCATATTGGTTGCGTGTGTTATATGCGCCTTTCATTTTGCGATAATAACGCGATGTTTCTTTTTTTCTTCAGTTAATTTAATATTTTATTAGATGGTATTTCAATATGAGTTAGCTGCTCTTAATCTTACTGCCTTCAATCATTTTTAAGCCTTATTTATTTATTTATTTATTTAGTTATTTATTTATTTTTGGTTAGAGTTGAAACGGGGAACACGCAGTCTTGCTTAACAAGCGACAAAGTCGTATGGACTCATTTCTCAAGCAGTATGCGTTAACCCGCGCCCCGTTGGGCTCTGCCGAGCAACGCGCCCCGTTGGGGGGGGGGGGGCATTTTGGCCCCCCCACCCCTAAGATCTCGAGAACCACGCAACCTAGCGACAAGCGGCAAACGGTGTTGGATAGCCCTATCAGGGAACTACCTTGTGACCCAATTTTATTGACCTAGGTCAAACCGATGACGTCACAGGTCAGGTCAAAGGTCCAATTTTCACCGTTTACAGGCATTTCAAGAAATGCGTTGTAAAATCGAGTAAAATGCATTTAATTGAAAATCATCGATGGGGAAATGTTCTTCAAACACATATTTTGCTATTTGAGGTCACTGATACCAGGTCAGGTCACAGAGGTCAGGTCACTGGGGGGTCACAATATGAAAGTGTCGTGTGATACATGTTTTATGGTCCATTTTACATGACAAATGCGATTATGTGGGTCAGGCAGCCTTTGGGGCCAGCTTAGGTCACCTTTTGGTCAAGGTCAGGTCAAGGTCAGGTCAAATTAGGTCAAATTTCAAAGTTGATATTTTTGCATAAAATGGGTATCGAATCGATGCAGCTCGTTACGGGGAGTTCAATGGTGGTCTTTGTTTTGCCGTACGTGGTCTAGAATCGCTAAAAATTGAGTTCAAAAATTTGACGTCATTATTTTTGAACAGTTTTTTTTCGCTATAACTTGGCCAAAAAACGAGATATCGATCTGAAATTTGGTATGTATGTAGAAGAGCGCAGGGACTATCACATATATTCCGGTTTTTTCGAACTTCGGAATTTTTTTTTTGATTTTTTTTAGTTTTTCTAAAAAAATCAATTTTTTGAATTTTTGAGGGTCAAAAACCCAAAATTTTGAAAATCCGAGATAGCAGTTTTGTAGCGCCGCTTTTTGTCTACCAGACCATATAAAGAACTTTGAAATTGCTTGATAACTGTAGATTTGGTGAGCGTTTCAAGATTGCATGTTTTTTGCTAATTTTTGCTCGAACATGACCTCAGTTTGACCTCAATAACTCCTGACCTAAGGTGACCTTAGACTTGAAATTTGGTGTGAAGGTGTCAAATTGATGCCCGGGAAGGTACTGAAAATTTGGCGGCCGTTTTCTTGCTATTCAGGAAAAACCACAGGGGGGGGGGGGGGCAAAATGCCCCCCCCCCCCCAACGGGGCGAGGGTTAATCTGGTCACCAGAACGCTCAAAATGATGAAGCACATCTTAACCGGCGCCCCACCCGGCCTTCCGTTCACAGTCGAACCCATGTCAGCACCCGGTGTTCTTCCTGAAGGAGACCTCGGCGGAGGACCTGCATGCCATTATCCAGTTCATCTACTGCGGAGAGGTGAACGTGGTCCAGAGCCAGCTGGCCAGCTTCATCAAGACGGCAGAGATGCTGCAGATCAGGGGTCTGAGCGGCGACAGCGACGGAGATGAAGATCAGGTGGGTTCGGTGTGTGTGAGGGTGGAAAATTTGAGAGCAAAATAACACGAACATTAACTTTGAAATATCTTTGTTTTTGTCTGTGTCGGGTAGGATATTCCATTTCCATCCATTGGGTTATTCACTTCCGATGACAACACACAAGCAAATATTCTAAATGTGTGTTGTCATCGGATGTGAGTAAACATAACAATGGCTGACATGCTACATTCCATCCATTTTCACATTTCTTTGTTTTTCGCAATTATTTACATTGTCACTTCATGCTTTTGGAATGCTTTCGTTCGTTTTGTGAGTGTCATATGAAGGTATGAAATTGATGGACGGACTTGCTCTTATCGTCAGAAAACATTTTGTTTTACGCCGCTTGCTGTGTTTGACCAATGTTTTTATGCTCAGCATCCTGAGTAAAAATTCCAAGACGCGATGTTTTAGAGGAATAGCGAGGGAAATATCTGTCAGCTGTGATTGTGTTAACAAGAAGAGACGTAGGAGCCTGTTCTGTCATCCTATTTTTATCCTACCCTAACCTTTCAATAGAGTCGCGTTTCATTCAGAACGAACTCATCACTCACTGTTTAATTTAATTTAGTCAGCGATGTGGCGTTTGGAGGAGAATGCTGAGCCCTTCAGTATTCAACTCACATTTGATTTATGGTCTTATCATATCAGTGAAGTTTATTCTATACCTGAATACCCCGAAGCTATGATGTATAATGCCTATTTATGGTCTCTTTGGAATCAGTCACTGTTCTAAAAACTTCGTTGAAAAACTTCGTCTTGGTTTAGAAATGGAAGAAGCTGAGCTTCGGGCTACGGTATCTCCTCTCATTTTTAATCACTTGTCATCAACATGTCTCTTGCATGCCTGCTTTTTACCACCTCTTGCTCAATGTGTCGAAACTGATCGATGATAAATGCATTGATACACTACCATCAGTCAATCATGTAAATCAACAATTGACGGCTCATTGATTCCTCTCCCGGCAGACACCGACTGCTACGGCGCCGCGGCAGAGCTCGGCGCCGCCACCTCGCGAGGCGGATCAGCCCGCACCCGCCGAGGCTCGACCGAGCAAACGACGACGCCGCCGCTCCAGTGGAACGTCCGACCTGTCCGCGACCTATGACGCATCCTCGAGCGCGTCCGCCACCGCATCCGTGACCGCATCCTCCAAGACCGCCGCCGGCGGCGTCCCTGCTGCCGCCTCCGCCGCTGCCACCGGCTCCAAGTCTGCTATTCCGTCAACTAACGTCAGCACAGATAACAGAGTGGTCGCAGATGTCCCGAAAGCCGCATCCGCCTCGGTGATCGCTGCTGATGTGAACGTTGTCAGCCTGGATGATATAAAGGTGGGTTTTCTTCTTACGGTTGATGGATAAACTCGGTTCACCAGTTCTAACCGCAATTAGAGGCGATGTACGATCAGAATTACTAGGAATTCTTAATGGTTTCAGGTCACGAGTATGGCGGCACGTGTTTTGGGAATAACGATGGATACTGCAATAAGATCGGGTCCATCATTCTAGGGCAGTTTTCAGAATTTTTACTTTGTGCTGTGTGCTGACGTCCGAATGATCATCACCGTAATTGAGAAAAAACTGTATTGTAAGCAATTTCTGATGCCCATTGAACGTTAACCCTCGCCCGCACATGCCATTTTCCCATCCTAGAACGCACATGGGGGGGGGGGGGGGGAAGGGTGGTTGCCACCCCCCCCCCCCCGCGCCGTTTCGTTCCTGTTGGAGATAGAGCTTAGCGGTAAAGACCAAAAAGATTCTTTGGGAAGAGACGAATCCAATGATACCGGATTTTACCTTCTCAGGTCAGTCATTGACCTTCCAGGTCAGGTCAAACTAAAAAATGTTGCTGTTTTGGGTCACCGTTGGATATCAAGTGCACTGCTTAGCATATACCGATGACGATGCCGTTTTCTGGTGCCAAGCCAGCTAGAACCTCTTTGTCACACTATCCGACCAGATTTTTGCTGCTGAGGTCATTTCAGGTCAAGTTAGGTCAAGGTCAGTTATATGTGTTTGTATGTCTGTGTGTGTCTGTGTGTATACTGATGTGTGCACCGATTGTTTTTGTGTCCATATTACATGAAATCATGATCTGAGAAGCTTTTACCAAAAATACAGTAAAAAAAAAACTTCACAAAAAGTAAATTCAGCTTGCCTAAAACGCAATTATCTTAGATGACCTAGGTTGACCTTGACCCTGACCTTGACCCCTGTACATCGTCGAACAACATGTTCCATGATTGATGATAGGTGGGAGGTAAGACTGGCAAAAAAGGCCGAAATCAAGGTGTCAAAAGCTCTCAAGGCCCATGGCAAACGCAAGATGTTGAGAATTGGCCATTTGGGTCATGACATGACCTGACAAACAAGGTCATATCTCCAAAACCAAAAATCACAGAAACTTGAAATTTTCAGTGGACATCAAGAAAGGATAGAGGAGCAGCTATACGAAAAATCAGCCTTCTAGCTCTAAAAATGTTAAGTTCAGAGCAGAATGACTACCTGGGGGGGGGGGGTGTGGCAACCACCCCCCCCCCCCCATGTGCGGGCGAGGGTTAAAGAAGGCTTATATTCCTAATGTATTCTGCCCTTTTCATGTCAGTGTGAATCAGAATGATGTATTCTGTTGGAATGCATGCTTACTAACTATAAATACCGTTTCATGGCTCTGTTACATCTTCCCAGACTGATGCTACCACGTATGATCTAGTCAACTCGCCCCGGCCATTCGCCAATCACACTTTCTTCTCCGTTTGCAGACTGAGCAGGTGGATCTCTCAGATGACGAAGGGCGCTCTATGGATGACCCGCTGGGCTTCTTCTCGAGCTTTGAGGGACATGTCGATGCCAGCAGTGCCGCCGGCCCGTCGTCTCGCCACTCGCATGGAGGACCGTCCACAGGTAGGGGACGATTTGATCGGGGAAAGGGCTCACTTTTGGAACTTACGTGCGGATGGAATGATGGAGTTTGTTTTGCCTTGTATTGGCAGGTACCCGCTTAATTCGCTGCCATTTAACGAATCGTCCTTAGTAAAGTTGATTTTTCAATGAAAGAAACGGTGCTGAATGTGCGTTGTCATTAAAAATATGGGACCGAAATGTTAGCCATTTGCTAATCACTGAGCAGGACAGGTGAGAGAGTATAACACAAATTATTCTTAGATACATGCTTTTTCCTCATTGTCTATATCATATGCGCAACGATATTTAACAGCATGAAAGATCTACTGCATTTAGTAAGCTTTTGTCGCTGCCGCCCACCGTCATTTGAAATGACGTGAATACTCGCTTCCTGTTTATTAAAAACACCATCCCTTCCGTACCGTTTCACTAGCCGTTCTTTCGCCAAACAAACTATTGAGGACGATCTTGGTAGGAGCGAACATCGCTCCCATCTCTGAAACCTCTGCTCTGACGCGGAAACGTTTACCAATATGCGTTCTCAGCCGAGTTATTGACCATTTGCATGCATGTGATATTCGTTCTATTATGCTGATGTTCGAGATGGGAATCAACGGCGCACATATCCGTTGGACATTAAACTCTACAACCGGGTTGTAGCGGGGCAACCACGTAACATTGGCTTGGTATCGTGACACCACAGATTGGAAACTGCGTAAGATCAAGGAGGTCGCAAAATTAGTCTGATTTAAACTCGTACAACGCGATCTACCCGATTACCCGAAATGTTCTCGAGTTGTAACTTCGTTTCAAGTGATAAATTATTGCAGTGCATTCGCCACGCGTGCAGTGTGTACGTTACGCATGACACCAAGAACGCACACCTGGAATAAGAATGCCCTTTGTAGCCCATCAGCCGCGCTTTGTGACTGACGGCCCATAGGTTAATGCTGTCGTGCCTTAGCTTTCATCTAACTGGCATGGTTCAGAGCAGCTCTACGAGTATGTACAAGTAGTGGCGTAGTAGTCAGTAGCGGTGGAACACCTTCAGTTAAGGGGGGGGGGGGGGCACTGCCGACTTTTGGTCCCATTCTTTCCATGCAACGCCCATAGGGCTAATGTTAAAATGCCAAAATCAAAGGGGGCTGTTAAAATGCCAAAATCAAGGGGGCACGGTGCCCCGGTGCCCTCCCCGTTCCGCCGCCTTTGGTGGTAGTGCTCTGGACGCTAGTTCTGACACTAGCCCTTTTACCTTTCTAGCCTTCGTAACGCGACAGTGCTTTTTTACTGTCGCTTTTCTACTAGCTCCATTGACGCACATCTCATTTAGTCCTAGCCTTCTCTAGTCCGTCAGTTCTCTGTTTCAACACACTTGTTTTTACCAGTATATGGGCGTTATGGGGGCACAATGACTACCGAAGTCGACGCGCCCTATAGCCCTAATAAACAAACAAATGACTTTTTGCAGGTAGCTCAAATGATACTAGCTCAAATCCGTTTGGGAGTGAACCGGCTTTCACCAACGTTCCTTTCTTTGCGCGTGCTTCCTATCGATCCTGTACGCTTCATTCGGCAGTTTTTTTATTTTGGAGTTGAGCTCTCGTTTCTGCAACTGTGGACGGTTGTTCACATCAGCTCATTTACTGGATGAGATGATTTTACCAAAAACTGATAAGAAGTCGATGAAATTACCGTTTTTGGGTAAGTACTTATTTAACCATTAGTTTGGGATCTTTTTGTCCAATTTGAAAGGTAACAAGCTGGACTTGATAATTGATTTTCGATTTTCACTTTTTGTTATGATCTATTACAATCTCTTACGTTCAACAAAGATCTTAAAGTTGAGCATTGTCAGTCATGCGGCTGTTATTTGGGTGATCTCTGAACCAGGGCTGCGGAGTCGGAGTCGAAATCGGAGTCGGTCGGATTCGACAGTTGTTCATGGAGTCGGTGTTGGAGTCGTCAAAATTTTACCGACTCCGACTCCGAGTCGGAATAAACATTGTATGGCGTTGGCCTGGCTCACCAATATAACTGCGTTCTGCTCACCCCTAGCTGCTTGTGGATGAGCTGCTCTCCAGAAAGAACTATGCTGAAATCCCGATTGAGCTCGATTCACCAATCGCCATGATTGCTTATTGGGGGCGTGGGCTAAAAACAGAAAGGGAATGCTGTTCTTTGACGAAGAATAACTGAATCGGGTCATGACCGGTCACCCATAGAACACGGTATTCAAGTCTAACAGCACAAAGAATGTCACATTAACGTAGGTATATATTCGTATCACATTAGGTTTTTATGCTAAAATTAAGCCCGGAAGGTAGAACGGAGGCTTTGCCACAGGACGGTCGCCTAGACCACTAGGTCATACGAAGGACTGAGCGCAATCGTACATTTTAACGTAAAACAAATTTTCGATTAATCCTGAAATACTTCGTAGTGTCCACGTCATTTTTTTTTTTTTTATAAGCTTATATAGTTCGTATAGGCTTCCTATTTTTCAGCATCACCATCACGGGGCAGTGATGCACGTAACCAAATGGCTTATAATGAAATGGTAAGACTTACACAAATCCTTGAAAATATGTTGATGAAATGCTGAAACATCAAAGACGGCTGTTCTCCACGTTGTTTTAAATACATAATTTCAGTTTCTCTTTGTTTGTTTTTTTCCCTCGGCTCTGGATGAACATCAGCTTTGGGTAAGTGTGGTCAAGAGGCATTTTTACATGCTAGTTTTGCCTTATGATAGCTGCTTCCGCCTAGCTGTTCACATCAGCGCGCTGAATTCATCCGAAACAGGGTTACAGCGCAGGTCCCCTGCCGTCTGTGAACATCACGCGGTCAGGGCGGCATTTCCACGTGCTCGTTTGCTCGGTTGACATTGCTGAACCGTTGAGTGGGATCAGTTTGTGAAGATTTAGCCGAAATTGGGCCTCGTGCTTGCTTTTCTATTTCGATACCCGGATACGGATGTCCACTCGAGAATGGGTTTGTGGCAGTTGTGAAGCCGATAAAATGGAAGGGTAGGATATCGGTAGGTATCGGCAGGATTTCGGAAGGGTGGGAACCGGATATCGTGAAGGTGGATCTGAATGAAATGGTGAGAAACTTGGTGGGCACAGTATCCTTCCAGTGCTGCACAGTTTCTGGACCCGAAGTAGCCTTGGATCATATTGTCCAAATTTGTTTTCATAACTACAAACCATTGTCATATTCAATCATTTTAACCAATGATGGAAATTTGACTTCCAAAGAAGTTGGAATAGTTAAAAGAAACCCGTGGATGCACACAGCCTTCCAAAGGACTTTTTTATCGAATCGTATGCCGTCCTGTGGTTATACTCCTTTGTCTGACCCTCATGTCGTTGCCTTTCTGTTACAGCTGCAGGGCCGTCAGGACAGGCTGGAGCGACGGCAGCGGGTGAACCAACTGCGCAAGGTCAGTCCAGAGACGATGCCGGTGGGAACGAGTCAGGACGCTGGTAATTCAGACAGACAGAGATCTATAAACAGACATGACTTTTGGCTTTGGAAAGAAGGTATCGCTCGTTGGGGTTTATTGTGTCTGTCTTCCTCAATCACTTCAGTCGATAAATTACTCATTCACATTTTGTGTCCACCGTTTCCTCACTTATTCCCGCGTTCCTGCGTTCGTTCATTTTGTTCAGTGGTAACTAAGCTAAAATTAAGATTTTGTTTCTCGAACATGGAACATTGCTTATTTGGATTTACAGCTGCCAGGGCTGGGACCGTTTCAGTTTTATGGTCACGGGTCCGGTAGCCAACTTCCATAAATCGGCAGACATCAGTGTTGGGGACATCAGTCAATCGGGGCTCGTGTTTTGGCCCGGCGCTAGATTTGTCGTACTATGAAGTGGCTCATTCCTTGTAACGCTGGCCTTCTGCGAAATGACAGTAATCGGCTCAATTTGAAGTTCAAACCGAACGTAAGTTGCTATGGAGTTCCCTGTTTTACATCTATTTGAACAAAGTTCATCCATGACCTCTTTATGAATTGAATTTTACCGTTACTTGGGGTCTTTTGTTCTAAAATGTGAAACAACTATGTGCAACGATGCACAAACTATCCCCGAACGTATGTGTCATTCGTTGCTTTGGTTCCAGTATGTTCCATGTCATTATTTGGATAACTCGCTCGCGAACTGCCAGTGCTCTGCCATTCCCGGTCTCATGTCCTTGTCATTCTCTCATCCCGTCTTTTTTAGCTTGTCTGTCTGAATTGCTGGCGGTCCTCATTCTGTTCATACTATATAAAATATGTCTCAGACGCGTTATGGGAAAGCATGAAGCAAGCTTCGATGTCTCCGTCGTTGACTTCTCTGCTATCCTATTCACAAGCTGTCTGGAATTCAATAGCTATCAAAGTAAAGGCTATGATCCCTAGAACGTTCCCATTAGGATCAGATGTCTTTCAGACGCTACTAGATGGATGCTTTTGTGCTACATACCGATCTATTGACGAGCTGAGAGAATTGGAACCGAGGTGCGTGAATCGCCCGTTCAGAAGACTTAAATTTGTTTTATTATTAGCTTTTCCTACACATTCTCACATAGTTTGCCAGTATACAGGTTCAAAAAATGAATGTTCAACGCCGTTGGGATCCCGGATACAAGATGAAGTTTTTCCGATAAATAAAGTTAAATTATAAAGGCGCCTCAATAACCATGCTCGTATGGTATGCCTCAGGATATTGTTTTTCGAAGCAGGCTCAAAGCGAGTGGACGTTGACATGCAGTAATACTTTTGTTGATTCGATAATGCTATACTGCTCGTAGTAGGAACACGCAATAATGTTTTTGTTTTGTTGATAAATTGAAATGTCGGGATTTAAGGTGATCGGTCGGGAAAAAATTCACAGCAACATTTGAGAACGTTGTGATAAATCGGGCGTTGAACCTCATAGTAGTTGCACATATTTGGAACAAAATGGAACGACTCGTCGTTCTGAGATAAAGAGCTCCTATTTGAAAATTGCGATTTGAATGCCCTGTTTATTTGAACGTTCGCGCGGGGTGTTTCTCTATATGGCCTCTAAGCTTAGACCAAAGTGGCACAAAACCTGTTGGTAAGTTCAGTGCATCGTGCATCCAGCATTTCCAAGTGAAGTTCTTTCGGGAGATTGGCGGTTTGTGGTGAAGGTGAGTGTCATGTTTTTCCTTGCTGATTAAATTGCAATTTTGGAAAAGTACAGCCCACCGCTAAAGTAATGTAGGGTTTTACCAATCTCAACGGTTGGCTTTGACTGGCGATTGTTTAATGCGGAGTGATCGAAAAGAAGATGTCAATAGCTTAAGTTGCAGCTGCAAGGGTGACGATACATATAAGCTACATTCAAAGTTTCATTGTAGTCTGGCTAATCGTTCCTAAGCTTCAGAAGCAGAACATACCCATGACTGAAACCCCACATTACTTCTGCTGTGGACTGTATATACCTATTAATGTTTTGCAAAATGACCGTCGTAGTCGGCGCGCTTTTAAGTCCCAATAAACATGGAGGATATTAAAGGGACAGTATCACCATTTTGATGAAATTTGACATTGCATAGGCCCCACCTTTCTGGTCCGGGAACTGAAGACCGATCCTCGAAGCTCCACACCGTTATCCCGCTATCGCCGCTCAAAGTACGAAAGGTGTACTACACTTTGAATCGTGCTTCACTATCTTCACTGTTTAAATGTTTGCGCCGTTTTGAATTGACCGCCAGTTATAAAACTTTTACCCTGGTCATTTCATCAAATTTTATAAAGCCAAAACGTTTTTCGCACTTATTCATCACCGTTAAATTCATTAAATAGTCGTAGGCAATTTCCGCTGTTTCCTTCGGATTCTAGCGGCTCAACAAAGGAATTCCTCCAGCTTGAATCACAATCTCCCTCCAATGTATGACGTATATGTATGACGTCATCTGATCTGCTAAAAGTACTTCACATTTGCTTCAAGTACGAGAATATTGTCACGTGATATCTTCTGGGCAATACCTAATGCTGCCTTTCCCTAACGACAACTCAATCAGAAGAGCGGCCGCGTAAGCGTAGCGTCAATAATGTATTATCTGCGCCAGTTCTGTAGAAATTTCGCAGGCTTCCAAAGTGGCGGCCATGCTTGTAGTGGTGGTTCGCTCATGAAAATGACTCGCTCATGAAAAATATTTTTCACCGAGTTCGGTCCTCAAACTATGTTTTTCTGATTCAGAAAAATAAGAAATGCTAGTAAAAAAAATCAGCTCCATACATGGATTTTTTTTCGATGATACTGTCCCTTTAATACCAGTAAAACGCCTTTTGGGCGAAGAACGAGCGAGCGAGATAGTGAGCCTGCACGTGCGCAAGGGCGAGAGGGTACTTCCAACGGGCTTGTGCAAAGCACCCTTCTAACCGGTCGCTAGCGGTGTGCCAAATTTGAACGCAATCGGCCCAGCCGTTCCTGAGATCTGGAAGCGGCATTCTGCACGTTCGCACGTGCAAGCGGGGTCCAAACTGACTTTTGCACGGCACCCTACTAACTGGTCCCCAGCCGTGTACCAGATTTGAGCGCAATCGGCCCAGCTGTTCTCGAGATCTGGGAGCGCCCCCTGTACGTGCGCACGTGCTGTAGCACCCCAACCTTAACACATGCAGATGAATTATCTGATGGAGACCTAACTGTGTACCGAGTTTCAATTCAATCGGCCCAACCGTTGTGCCGTTATTGAGGTTGCAATTTTGGGGTTCTTAAAAAATGTCCAACTTTACCACGCGCCACGTGCGGTGGTTGGCAAGAACGCATGGTGGCCATCACACCGCAGAACTTTTACGTCCAAGTGACATTCAGTAAAGAAGACCGCTTGTCAATCGGATGTCCCGTTCCTAAGATTAGCTTTTGAAGAGCGTCCCCACGGCGGCCGGCCGGCCCCGGCCGGCCGCTCATACTCAGGATTTTCCCTTAATTCAGTATGAACTCGCTCGCTCGCTGCGCTCGCTCGCTCGTAATAACTATGCAATACTCGTATACCCATAACCCATACAATCATCTTTGCAGATCTGCAAATTTTGCAAATCCGAAGGCCTGCCGGCGGGGCAGTCGGTTGGTGATGGTGGTCATGGAAGGTGACGGTCGGCGCCGTGCACGTGTCTTGACTTCTTCTTCTAAACCGGACTGTATATACTCCTTGGACGATGCAGTATACTACATTTACCCACCAAACCAAGCAATTAGATGCAATGAAATGCCGATCCGAAATTCTTACATTTATATCCCCCCCCTAAATATTGACCTAGAGCAACCAAAGTTGCACAGGGGTGAGAACTCCAGGGGGCCCGCCTACCTGCCAAATTTGGTGTTTCTAGGTGCCATGGAGCCAATCGCGATGGGGGGCTGCATCAACCCCCCCCCCCCACCTGCCCACCTGTGTTATGAAAAATGCCCTGCCAGGAAGGACGAGGGTTAAATTCTAACTACATAAACCTCTTCTACTTCCCTAAAATGATTTTCAAGTCCAAACGAGGTATGAAATCAACCTTCTTTACATTACTTTTGGGCTTTGGCCACTTTTGGCACTGTGCCATCAGCCATGTGATACCTTTGACAGATTTCACAGAAGAGACGAATGAACTTGCAATATTCAGAATTCACATTTTCATGTAACAAGTTCCTATTACGTCATTATCGTTTGACCAATGAAAAAGCACCATTTGACCAATTCCAGAATGTTTTTCATTTACAGTCAATTGGGCTAATGACGTAGGATATTGTTATTCTTTGGTAAAGTAACTGAACTCAAGACGCGGCTCAGGGATATGAAGGGGCCATGCTAAACCATTTCAGCTGACGGATTGCGTCATTAAAATTAACGCTACAGAGATGGCATTCATTTTTGATATTTTATTTTTGACATGACATTTTTGAATTTACAGTAAGATGTTTTTTACACTTAAAGTACACGTAAAAAATAAACACTTCAATGCTAAAAACAAAAAAAAAAGTTCGTAGTGAAGTAATCTGGTTGAAACAACACTCATTGGTTGACCGAAATGACGTCACTAGTCGTATCGACAGAATAATAAGAGTTACGAATATTCAGGGCCATCGGATGTTGACCTCTTCGTCAGATCAAGGTCTGAGCTGTGTTCGGGTCCGCGCAAAATATTTTGCAGCGTGTGAAGTCACACATGCGATGATGTAGTCGCCTATGCTCCGCCCATGCTCCGCCCCCTCTCCGCCGGCCCGCAAAGCCGAGGGCCACGGCAGCATCATTTGACGCGCGGCGAACCATGGCGCGGAGCGGACGGACTGGTGGTTTTCGTTCAATAACTTAGTAAAATAGTTCAAATGTGGTTAATATCAATGTGCCACTGAAAAGAAACATTATGATACCCAAAAAACAACATATCAACCACTTACAATAAGAAATATAGGAGTGTTAACTTAAATCCGCGCCACTTTCGCCTCCTGCAGCTACTATGTTCTTGCGCAAAACTGAAAGATTTTGCGCGAGCCTACGTCACACGTGCAACGTCATGCGCCGAAGGGTGGAGTTTGGCACCCGAGGGACCCCAACTGCGCATGCGTGGTGCAAAATTTTACAATAGTATGCGCTGCCCGAACACGGTCCTGATGATTTTCTTTTTGGAAGTTTTTTTTTTGTATGCCTACTTTTGTACATATTTCATTGTTTCATTTCGTTCATATTTCATCAAACATTTGTTTCAATAGATTGGCTTACCTCTACCTAGCCAAATACCAATGCCGCCTTTATTTTTTTTTTTTTTAATGGTTAGCTCAAGCTGGAAAGCTTCATGTGGATTCTAATGTGAATTGTGATGTGGTAAATACGTATTGTTTATTATTTAGGCAGATATCTGTTGCAAACTTCTTACCTGTTGGCATTGACGTGTGAATATTCTTCATGTCACACAATTGGTTCAATTTGTATGTGTAATGTGCATTGATGTGCATCAGGTTTTTTGTTTGTTTATTTCTAACCATACTTTGGTATTCATACCCTTTTGTGCAGGAAAGCTGAAAGCATCTTGAGCACCTATGATGAGTATGAACTATGATCCCAGTGGATCTCTCGACGGTGAGTGGGATCTATGATCTGAGTGGATCTCTCAACAAGACTGATGGGTGAGATCTATGATCTAAGTGGATCTCTCGACAAAATTGAGGGGTTGGATCTATGATCCGAGTGGATCCCAGATTTAGATTCATGGGATCGGATCTCAGATCCATTTTCCCGCATCCATGCACATGTCTGGAACTTAGTACCCACTTATCCGGAACACTTGTAAGAAACGCTTACCGTCGTTTAGCTTCCACTCTCATTCACTCTTTGAAAGCCCTAAGCCGACTCAATATTAGGTATAGGTGCTTTACGTAGGCCCATGACTCCGTCCGTCCGTCCGACTTTACGGCGTGACTAACATAAGTTCGGTGGTGCCTGCCCTCAGAAGTGAAGTGCGTGCTGGAGCGACCTGACCTACAACGCCAGTGCTGGTACCCGATCTAGCGCGCGACGGGCGGCATGACTGAGCTGGTCGAACGTTTGCCAGTGATGCTAAAATGCTTTAGATGTGATGTTTACGTGAAGTTTGCTGATTTGAACGTACAAGTAGGCATTTTTATTCATATCGCTTCAGCGTTGACTGTGTTATGCTGCCAACGTTTTTGTTAATAAGGCTATCTTTAACAGTTTTGTTTTTCAGTAGGATATGGGATCAAGTATTCTGTGTGCCGTTTGTTTGTCTCTATCTTCCGTGGTCTTTTCCAATACAGATTTGATGCCCAATTCGGTGGTTTTGAACTTCGACCCCGTGAGCGTCGCCTGGTATTTGCACCACTCTGATGGATTGAACAGAAGTTGCGCCGTCAAAGGTTTTATTTCTTCACCCGGTCACGGTCGTCAAGTTAGATGTAAGTGAATCCTAATCTATAATCTAAGATTCGGAATCAGGTGAGCCCCTACGATTTGGACCAAACTTGGTCAGTGGATAGTACGTAACGTCCTGATTACGATGCACCCAAAATCTAAGCTCGGCCCGCCATATTTACGAAGTTACGGATGTTTGAATTTCAAGGTCATTCGGGAGAGCCCCTGCGATTTCCGTCAAAATTTGTGTACGGACACCCTAGATGCTCCTCATTACGAATATCACAAAATTTAAGCTCGGCCCGCCATATTTACGAAGTTACGGAGGTTTGAATTTCAAGGTCATTTGGGTGAGCCCCTGCGATTTCCGTCAAAATTGGTATACGGACATATTACATCCTCCTCATTACAAATATCATAAAAGTTAAGCTCGGCCCGCCATATTTTTCAAGTTACGGAGTCACAAAGTTACGGAATTTCAAGGTCATTTGGAGAGCCCCTCCGATTTTCGTCAAAATTTGTATGCGGACACATTACATGCTCCTCATTACGAATATCGTAAAAGCTAAGCTCGGCCCTCACTATTTCAAAAGTTACTGACGTTTGAAACTCACTGAAATTCAAACATCTCTAACTTTTGAAATAGTGCGGGCCGAGCTTAGCTTTTACGATATTCGTAATGAGGAGCATGTAATGTGTCCGCATGCAAATTTTGACGAAAATCGGAGGGGCTCTCCGAATGACCTTGAAATCCCGTAACTTTGTGACTCCGTAACTTGAAAAATATGGCGGGCCGAGCTCAACTTTTATGATATTTGTAATGAGGAGGATGTAATGTGTCCGTATACCAATTTTGACGGAAATCGCAGGGGCTCACCCAAATGACCTTGAAATTCAAACCTCCGTAACTTCGTAAATATGGCGGGCCGAGCTTAAATTTTGTGATATTCGTAATGAGGAGCATCTAGAGTGTCCGTACACAAATTTTGACGGAAATCGTAGGGGCTCTCCCGAATGACCTTGAAATTCAAACATCCGTAACTTCGTAAATATGGCGGGCCGAGCTTAGATTTTGGGTGCATCGTAATCAGGACGTTACGTACTATCCACTGACTAAGTTTGGTCCAAATCGTAGGGGCTCACCTGATTCCGAATCTTAGATTATAGATTAGGATTCACTTACATCTAGCTTGACGACCGTCACCCGGTCATCATCTCACTTGCTTATGATTACGCTTTTAAAGTCTTTCGATAAGCAACGATGTTTGGACAACCTGCTAGTACCGTTCTCATACACAAACATGACAGCTTGAAATGATGGTAAACACCGAGTACTCATATTAATTTCTCGTGGTGTCTCGGTTGTCACATAAAATACATCGCCAGACACATTTTTCAACTCTTGCACACCTATTGTTCTGTGTTAAATCTGCGTTTTAAGCACATATCCTTCGCGAATTTGTGACTCGGACTTGTATTTTCGTTTCAGTAACTTAATGCCGTTTCGTTAATTGTGACATCCTAATCCTAAGGGATGTAGCGACCTAGATAGGTTGAGGCGCCGACCATTGAGCTAATAGATTTTTGTTTTTGTCGCTGGCAGAGGGGTGTCGATCTCTCCGGAAGCCGCGGGGGTCCAACCAGCGTCAGTCCAGTGACGCCAACGTATTCGTAAGTAACCACTTCATTTGATGCTGTTTTATTGGTGGGTAGACCACATTTGTATGTATTTATTGCGTCAGGTGATAGTGATATAGGTTTTTGAGCGCTGATTTTTATTCAGTCAAGTCGTGATGCTGGTAAGATCATGATAACCACAACAATTTCACTTCAAAATTTCACATTTTCACACAACAATTTCACAACATATTTCTTTTAGTTAAACTGACCATAAAGCCATACTGACCGCCCCGTTTACTGTCGGGTTATATTTGATAGTTCTAGATAAGACCATCAAATTTGTGATATTAGTTCGGCTATTAAAGCCGGCCGCATTACTTTAAGTGCACAAATGAATGATGCCCGAGACGAGCAATGGAAGCTCAAAAAGTGAAATCAGAGTAGCTACGATCGATATTTTGAGCTGGCCAGCGTTGCAGGCTGAACTGGAATACGGGCGTAAAGTGCGCCTTTCATTTAAGCACTTAAAACGATTAAGCAGCCTTAAATAATCGAACTATAGGCATTTCAATAACCAAACTATTGTGATAAACTTTTGAGATTTCGATTATCCAAGTCAATCCTAGTTGATGACCCATGTTAGGTCTTAAACTGTTGTCGTTCGGACTTGAGTTGTCAATAATATGTTTCACGGCATGGAGTGATTGGTTAAAAATGCGGTGGAGTTGATATGGCTTTTAGGCGATGCTACTGTATTCATTACTACCTGCTAACAATTCCATTTTCATCTTCTTTTTCTGATGTCATATTTACTATTTTGTTAGAGTTGCATGGGTAAGAGATAAGCTATGCATCGAGAGAGATCCTCAGACACACCACTGCCTGTTTTGCTTGCTATAATGTTTTTTTTCTGAGCTTTTCACAACTATTTTTAACTAATCATATGTTTTTATCATGACAGGCGGTGATCGATCTGGACAAACCGCCGAAGAGGTCGGTGCCGCGGGCACGGTTCAAAAACTTTAAGTAAGTGTTGCTTAAGTTTTGGTGTGTAATGTTTTTTTATGCGTTTATCTACATTTATCAAAATAAATTCGATGATAATGGTAATCCCCTGTGGAATTAGCCATCGAAAGTCGCTTCATGAACTTGTGGCTTGTATTTATGCAATTCAGCATATAACGTTGAGGAACACTCTTTTCTTACGCTTCTCATTGGTACTTAATTCATCGCATGACTAGAAAAAATATTTTACCGTTCCTTTTGTGGCAGTAAAAGACGTAGTTACATGCTCATACTTTATCAAGTGTCAAGTCTTTTTGCCCTACAGGTCAGCCGTCGAAGCGAGCAACCTAGAGTTTCTCACTTTGTTACCGGAGGTTGAGAGCGATATGCCTCCATTAACCGAGAAACAGGTCTTGTAAGTAGATTTCAGCTATTCTTTATATTATGGTGTAATATGCGTAGTATGGATGCATCATATATTGACGAGGTATATAAAACCACATCGCTTTGTTTTCGCTTGCCAACGTGTGCTTGCCAATTACTAGGTTTATATGAGCAAGTGAATGTGTATTAGAAACGGGTTTCCTTATTGGCTCAGCATTGCGATCCGTGTGTACTGTGTAATACGCGTTTACTCTGCTCACGTCATGTGTCCCCGTTCATAGACTGTGAGGCTCGTTGTACGTTTTTCGTTTTCAGGACACCTGAGCTGGATGTGCACATCCTGCCCTCCAACATCATTCGCAAGTTGGCCAGACGAGACCCTCTGTCGAAAAACGACTGGCGAGAAATGATGAATTCTATTCATCAGCGGTATTCGCCCTACGATCACTAGTACGTATGCATTATAGTATGTGTTCGCTACACCAAACAACACAAATTTATTACTATCACAAACATGCTTTGTGGTCTAACACAATCGTACGCCGAAGTTGGCTAGAATCCTGAATGCGAACATTTGAAATACTTGAACTTCTTTATAAGAAATAGATATTAAATGGCAATTATACCTTCCCTTCGAAACACTGTACTACACCGCAACAGCGTGTCTCCTGATTGAGTAGATGTGTGACTGTACGCTCCTGATATTTGCACAACGCTGACTTCATATTTCCGTTTTTGCAGCATTCGCAAAGCTCGTCACTGGTATGTGGGCTTGGCTCAGTCCATCATCGACCAGTTCCCGTTCGCGCTCCCTAACATGGAGAGACAGGATGCACTGGTAAGTATGAAGCTTTTGCAGAGTGCATGACAATAAAATCACTGTGTGTTAGATCGCTTTGTGGCATGTTCGATGCCCTTCATTTGTTAAAATGTTGAATTTTTTTTTTTGCAAATTGCTTTCGTCTTATCAGCTTCTTCGATAATTATTATACAGCATTAACCGTATGCTATTTTTTTTTGTGTGTTTTGTTTTGTTTTTCATATTTTTGTTTTTGTCGTTTTTATTTCGCTCTTATTGAGGACAACGTTAATTGTTTGTCTGATATTAGCTATGCAAGAGCATTAATCATTCTTTCTCTCTCTCGCTCCCTCTCTCTCTCTCTCTCTCTCTCTCTCTCTCTCTCTCTCTCTCTCTCTCTCTCTCTCTCTCTCTCTCTCTCTCTCTCTCTCTCTCTCTCTCTCTCTCTCTCTCTCTCTCTCTCTCTCGCTCTCTCATTTTGACTTTCAGTTAAATGTTGAAAACTTTTTCAATGTATGCCCATTGTAAACTCAATTTCGCTTCTTGCTTTGCAGGACATCGTTTGTGGCCGGCTGAAAAACAAGTTTAGGAACAGCCGAAGGCCTACAGACAGGTATAAAAAGCGGCATGACCTCTCTGGTGTAGAACGCTCGCCAGGGTCCTCTACTACTTGGCAAAACAGTGACGAGAAAGCGACTGAGGCGTCGAACGACCCCAATATCACATCACTGGAGCAACAGAGTGACGGGAGCACTGGGGCGAAGGGAAGTGATGTCAAGGCGACCAGAACGCCGCAAATCCCCGACATAGACCAAGTCTCAGATCATGGTTCTGAAGAACCATTAATAGCAGATGATGTGGACGTTAGTGAGGAAGATGATGGCGATGAAGCTACGTAGAGGTCAATTTTTCGAATTCCAATACCGATGACGTGAATCGCTCCCGCGTTCTACGTAAATAGTTGAGATTGCTTTGAGTACGGCACAGAATTGACGTGTGATGTTTTGAGTTGTTTTTGGCTAAGAATGGTTGGTGTACTGAATACGGCCTTACTGTCTCTGAGGTAAACGGGCTGCTATGCAGTCGTGGAAGGGAATGCTAAGAAATATAATTGACATTCGATAACTTGACTAGCTAATCAAGAAGCATTTGTTTCAGCATGGAGCGTCCTCTGCAGCTAACTTTTTATAGTAAAGTTAGATTCATGTTTTACATTGGTTTGTCTGTCAGCGTCGGACATGCTTCTGTATAGCTTCTGTAGCTTCTGTATGTCATGTACTTGTTGTCATCTTTTGCGGTCTTCAATACAGATCTGATACGCTATTTCATGATTGTGATCTTCTAGCACGTGAAAGACGCGTAGTATTTGCACCACTCTGTTGAATTTATCAGAAGTTAAAGCAGCTGCACCGAAGCTGTTTAGGAGCATACCGATTAGCATCTCAGAGGTGTGAATCGGTAAATCGGTGAAACATGTAGACGCCTTACTACCGGGCTGCGATACCACCCTCACATTTGAGTGATAATGGCCGTTTTTTTTTTTAAGCACTTACAAATATCCTAATTCGTGCATCGCCTCACCTACATAAGATTATGCCCATAGTGACTTTCGATATTCACAGATATTTGAACAACCTGATGGTAACATTCTCAATACACGTGTCTATGTCTCAGTCTGAAGTGATATCGACGCAGAGTACTCATTAGTTTATTGTAATGTTTTATCATTCATTGCCAAACGCATCTTAAGACACGTCTGTTAGCAGCATATTACAAACACATTGTGTTCTACGTGAGCTTTTTATATCTACGTTTAGAGCACATCGCTGCCTTATTTCCTTTGCGAGTGGGGCGTCTAGATTCGTTTCAATTAGTCTATGACGTTTTGTTTACTTGTAACATCGTAGGGGATGTAGCAACCTAGATGGGTTGAGGCGCCGACAATTGAGCTAATTAATTTTTGTTTTTGTCGCTGGCAGAGGGGTGTCGATCTCTCCGGAAGACGCGGGGATCCAACCAGCGTCAGTCCAGTGACGCCAACGTATTCGTAAGTAATCACTTCATTTGATGTCATTTTAGGTGTTTTTTTTTGTGCTGGGTAGAATACAGGTGTAGATGATGTGCCTGGTGACATTAATATCTCTTGTATGTAATATTCGTCTTATGATGTGATGGTGATAAGATTATGACGATTAATTACGATAATTTCACCCTCAAATTTGTTTAAGTTAAGTCACTGACCCTGAAGCTAAACTGATCGCCCATTTAGCTCAAGAGTTGTGTTTGATGGTTCCCGATGAGACCATCAAATATGGGGTTTTAGATGGTTGGGAAACAGAATCATTGATGTTGTGCTTTCATATATTTGAGTAGATATCAGATGCTAAACCCTTATTAACTCTTGAACTGTTTTTCGGAATCGAGGTGTCAAGTATATGGCAGATGACGTGAATGTTTACAGATGTGGAATTTCGGTTGATATGCGATCTAAGTGACGGTTCTGTAGGGGAGAGTGGGGAAAGATGCCCAGGGTTTGACTATGTCATATATTATTCGAAAATGACGATCGGAAAGCCAAAACTTGGAGTTTCAACGGAAGCCGACATCATTTTTCTCCAAAAATATCACACTTTCGTGCATGAAATATGATAACTTTTTTGCTATTAAGCATTTTCCTGAAGAAGTGAAAGGGGGCATCTTACCCCACAGGGTGGAAAAGACGCCCCCTGGCGTTGGGTAAGATGCCCCCCTGCACTATAAGTGACATAAATAGGCACGTGAATCGCCTGAACGAATCAGTAGTCCCTTCGAGCCTGTAGTAGACACCAAACGTCATCGTAAGGGCCCTCAAAAGTAGTCGTAAGGGGCTTCAGAGGTCATCTCTAGGGCCATCATAGTCCAGCGTGGCCAAACAAGCCTCCGTGGTGGCGTTCGGAGACCACTGTGGGGCCCTTCATGATGCTTGAGGGCCCTCGAGCCCATCGTGGGGACCTCAGATGCCAGCGCGGCCCGTGGAGCCAACGTGGGAGCCCTCAAAGGATGTCGTGAAGGGCCCTGGAACCAATAATGGGGCCCACAGAGGCCGTCGTAAGGGCTCTCAGAGTCAGATGCCGCCCAAAAAGTCGCTGTATGGGCCGAGAGACCGGCATGGGGAGCACTCGACCGTACCGGACTCTCAATAGTCCCAGATCGGCTTTTGTCTCTCATCACAAGTATGTAATAAATGATTTGACGGGCTGCTTGAAGGACAGCCTACGGATTTAGGGGGGCGTCTTTCCCCATCAGGACAGGGGGCATCTTACCCCAAGGTACCGAAGTAACATTAAATCAGCACAATTTGTTAGCCATAAAACTACACCCTGAAACCAACTGTTTGGGACACAGTACACGCATGTTAATGTATCACGACTATAGCAAGGGACGCAAAAATTATCTACCTTCTTTGATATTTACAATGTTTTGACGCCAAAATATTTTTCGAAAGCAGCAAATAAAAAACATGCAATCACCAGCCAGCCGTTGCCCAACTGAGCTTCGCAAATTTTTGTGCAGTTAACAAGGCAGGCTTCCGCTTTACGCTAAGAACATTAATTTCCAGGTTCGATTCTTTGTTTCCCCGCTAGAGGGGGTGGGGCGTCTTTCCCACCCTGGGCATCTTACCCCACTCTCCCTATACGTCACCATTGGCCAACAATTTCGATTTCTTCTTTATTTGCTGAGGTTATATGTGTTTTATAAGACTTGTAAGAGATATCCTTTGTATTTTAACAGATCCTCAAACACATCACTGGGAAGTGTTCTGCCTGCGATGAAATGTGCTTGGTTTCATGGCTTTCAGCCACTATTTCTGGTTATTGATGTCTCTCTCCCTAGCAGGCGGTGATTGATTTCGACGAGTCACCGAGGAGACCTGTGCCGCCGGCACCGTTCAAAAACTTTCGGTGAGTGGAGCTAAATGTTTCGTGTGTAATATTTTTCTGAGATTGTTTACATATATGAGATGAATTAAAATATACTGAATGCCCCCTGTCGAAATAGTTTTCCAATGTCTGTGCTCGAACTGGTGGTTTTCTATGTATTTCATTAAGCATACAACGTGGAGTAGGCACCCCTGGTTATTTTTTACGCTTCTCGTTGTTCTTTAGGTATAATTCATTGCAAGAATAACAAAATCATTTTCTTTGCTCTTGTGGCAGTCAGAAATGTATTAACATGCTCATACTTGAACTTCAGCTAGTGTTATGTGCTTGCCTTACAGGTCAGCAGTGGAAGTGAACAACCTAGAGTTTCTCAAATGGCTACCGGAGGAAAAACGCCGAAGTCTTCCTGTACTAACCATGGCAGAGGTTACGTAAGTAGATTTTCGTATTCCAAATTTTGATCTTCGTTAGGGTAGTGTGGGGTAATTTGAACATATTTTTACGTCTTCTCCGTTGTACCAAATTCCAGTTCAACCCTGGATGAAGAAAAACTGCTTCAGTAGCGCAAGTGTCACTTGCTTTCACCATGCAAGCCTCATTTTTGAATGAGCCGAGCATACCTTGAATAGCATAGCCTCACTTCTCCACCAAGTCACGGTGTGTTCAAATTGCCCCACCGTGGGGTAATTTGAACATACTGCCTTTACCTGTCATAAAAACGATAGTCTCGCCAGCACCGATGTTGTTTGACCCATAAACAAATAGGCAGAACAATTCTAAACATACCTTCACTTGAAAAATCAACACAACAGCAAAAATAACAGTTGCAGAGTATCAATATCTGCACGCTGCACACCGGTCAGTTGACAGAATTCGCCCCTCTTCAATCAACAGAACGTCTATCATTTTTGTTCGATAAAACTCTCCCAACCGTACTACATCTGTTAAAGTGGTGCCAATGGAAACCTGGACATTTGGAGTTCTGATTTTGTCCAATGTCCAATTCGGAATTGGTTGGGCAAAGGTAGCAGACTGGACAACATTGGACGATGGCTTGCTACACTTCAGCGCTTTTTATAAAGTAATCGTGCATAGCATTGAATGGCGAATGGACAGCTTGTTAAGCTCTCAATATAATGAACACTTTTCGGCTGGTAAAATTACATGATAAGCAATATAAATGACGGTTTTGAGTGTTGATAGCTGCATAATTTTCGGACATATTTGGACAAATAGTTGACTTTAACATTTTTGGACGGAAAATCAACAAAAATGCCGGACATTAGACGGATATTAGACGTAAATTTTCTAAACTGGCATCACTTATCTGCTACTGCCTTGGGTCGAAAATATTGGCAAAAAAAACTGGGAGCGTTGTTTTTTCGGAGCTATCCCTGTCTTCATTCAAATTCTCACACTATGTTCAAATTACCCCACGCTAAAAGTTATTTTGCCATTTTTAAAAACAGGGTTCAAAAGCAAATTTCTTGGATTGAAGGCACTGATTAGGTCATTATACAACAAAAGCCGTTGCGTATTAGGCGCTAGCAATGCAAGATTTTGCGCTGCAATGAAGTTGCAATGACGTGTTGTTAGGCGTCTTTCCTTGCGAAATTGATTTTTTACACTGTGCGTCAACATCTTCATTCCCTGAAACTTTAAACCCCGTTCATATGATAGCCCTTTTAGTTACGATAATTTCTCTCATTGGTCTTATTGTCATGCCACTTATGGATTTTCCGTAATTTTCTGTTATTCACACTATGTTCAACATAGACATAGACATAGACATAGACGTGTATTGAAGCCATCCACGATACACTCGTGGCTATTACGGCCGCTCGTACAGGGCTAAAACTCTGCATGGGAGACATAACATAAAATAACGTGATAAATACGCTCAAAGCCCGTACACACAAACAAACATACACATGCACTCATACAGACTCATGGCCGCTGTCTAAGTCACCTCGCCTCCCAGTAGGTGGGATTGGAGGTGCCGACCAAATAGGTGGGCCGGTAGACGCGTCAGTTCTGACGGGAGCTGGTTGTAGGCGAGGGGCGCCCGGCAGCAGAACCGGCGCTGCCCCATCGCTGACCGCGATCGTGGGACTGACAGATTGCGGTCCTGTCTGGTGGATCGCTGCCGCGTCTGCGATACCTGCACCAGCTGGGCAGCCAGGGTTTCTGGCTCGCCTGATCGCCGCACCTTGTGCAGCAGGCACAGAGAGTGATACTGAGCAAGCTGCTCAGCGCTGAGCCAGCCCAAGTTATCCAGCAGGTCCGATACATGGTCGTACTTTTTGCGGCCGAAAATCACCTTTGCAGCATAGTTAATTATTTTTTGGAGCCGAGAGAGGTTTGTCTGCGTGCAGTTGCCGTATACTGAGATGCAGTATCGGACCTGC